AAAGGACTGAAAAAAACGAGGCTGAATAAGTCATCGAGTTCATGACTTGTCATCTTGACTTAGACTTGACTTGACAAATAGCAGAGGGCACCCAGCGTAAGAAAGTCTTTACTCAAGGAAATTAGCAGGACTAGCAGACGTGGCAACTCTCTTACCCTTCTCCTCAATGGTTGGCTATTTTTAGAACTCGGCCTGCGTGCTAGATACAGCCTCGTTTGCGTTTCAGTCTACGATTCTAAAACGTTGAAGTTGGATAAGGGCACTGGAGGTCTGGGTTAAAGGGCTAAAAGGGCTAAAAAGGGCTAAGGGGGCAATTAAATGTAAGCCCTGGGTCGGGTGTCCGGGTAATTACATTAGCATAATTTTCTTAAACCTGCTGGGTTTGGTTAAGGCTAGTGTTCATTGTGTTTGTCGTCTGGTGTCTGGGGTGGGGTAGTGGCTGTCAGGGGTGGGGTAGTGATTGTCAGGGGTAGGGTAGTGACTGTCAGGGGTGGGGTAGTGACTGTCAGGGGTGGGTAAGTGACTGTCAGGGGTAGGGTAGTGACTGTCAGGGGTGGGGTAGTGACTGTGGGTGGGGTAGTGACTGTCAGGGGTGGGGTAGTGACTGTCAGGGGTGGGTAAGTGACTGTCAGGGGTGTGGTAGTGACTGTGGGTTGGGTAGTTACTGTGGATGGGGTAGTGACTGTCAGGGGTGGGGTAGTGACTGTCAGGGGTGGGGTAGTGACTGTGGGTGGGGTAGTGACTGTCAGGGGTGGGTAAGTGACTGTCAGGGGTGTGGTAGTGACTGTGGGTTGGGTAGTTACTGTGGATGGGGTAGTGACTGTCAGGGGTGGGGTAGTGACTGTCAGGGGTGTGGTAGTGACTGTCAGGGGTGGGGTAGTGACTGTCAGGGGTGGGTAAGTGACTGTCAGGGGTGGGGTAGTGACTGTCAGGGGTGGGGTAGTGACTGTCAGGGGTGGGGTAGTGACTGTCAGGGGTGGGGTAGTGACTGTCAGGGGTGGGGTAGTGACTGTCAGGGGTGGGGTAGTGACTGTCAGGGGTGGGGTAGTGACTGTCAGGGGTGGGGTAGTGACTGTCAGGGGTGGGGTAGTGACTGTCAGGGGTGGGGAAGTGACTGTCAGGGGTGGGGTAGTGACTGTCAGGGGTAGTGACTGTCAGGGGTGGGGTAGTGACTGTCAGGGGTAGGGTAATGACTTAGTTGTAAATTACATCACCGAATGTCACACCATCTGCAGTAGATCTGGGCTGTTTATGACACGTCTGTTTCTCGGCTGTCTGGGTCGGATCCGAACCCTGGCCTTCTAACAGTGAGTGGTCGACGAGATGTAATAGACTACAGTCATGCTTGTATGTTGTCTGTTGTGCTAAAGTCACGTGGGACATATACTGACAGTTGCTACAGTCACGTGGAACATATACTGACAGTTGCTACACTACAACACTCATGTTGGACGAATGCAAATGAGGTTTTGTGACACGAATAGTGTCGGCCAAATCTGGGCCTAATCAGGCCACGGGCGGGAGTCCATCAATGTCCAGTTGTAATGGTCGTGATTCAAGTCTCTGATGGGAATTGGGATCTGACTGGGTTCGAATGGGGGGGGGGGGGGGGGGGGTGGGGCGAAGTTGGGGGGTGGCTTTTTGTTTAATCAAAGTTTTTCAAGTGATAGACAGTTTATTGGTATCGATACTGTTAATCATGAGAGTGGATCACGTTTGTTGCTGTCTGCTCGTGGTCACGTTGATTTTTGTCTGTCTGTGTCACGTTACTTGCTGTCTGTGGTCACGTTGATTGCTGTCTGTCTGTGTCACGTTACTTGCTGTCTGTGATCACGTTGATTGCTGTCTGTGATCACGTTGATTGCTGTCTGTGATCACGTTGATTGCTGTCTGTGATCACGTTGATTGCTGTCTGTGATCACGTTGATTGCTGTCTGTGGTCACGTTGATTGCTGTCTGTGATCACGTTGATTGCTGTCTGTGGTCACGTTGATTGCTGTCTGTGGTCACGTTGATTGCTGTTTGTGATCACGTTGATTGCTGTCTATGGTCACGTTGATTGCTGTCTGTGGTCACGTTGATTGCTGTCTGTGATCACGTTGATTGCTGTCTGTGGTCACGTTGATTGCTGTCTGTGATCACGTTGATTGCTGTCTGTGATCACGTTGATTGCTGTCTGCCGCTCATCGCCAATGTGTTATACTGGTGTACACCAATTATAGTTATAGGCTATCCAGAGTTGTATGCGCATGCGCGTCAACGAAACGATGTCAACTGTGGTTAGGGAATCGTGTTTCTCCATGCCCCACCCAGCCCCTGTGATCCTGAATCGAGATGGACATATTTAAATGCAGATTTATGCAAGATGTTTTTATTGATATGTAAATTTCCCAAATATCTTGAACCTTTCTGAAGGTAGACTGAATGACGTCCCTTTGGACGTGCCTGCCACACAAATAACAACTGTAAATAAAACTTTCCAGTTCGGGTATTCCCGCAAACAAATCAGCCCTGCTCGGGTATTCCCGCAAACCAATCAGCTCTGTTCGGGCACTCCCGTGCTCATGATCTTTTTTCGGGAATTCCCTTTATAATACCAGTTGTCGCCGTATGTACATTCGCGTGCACCGAATCATCATCTCCCCAGACTGAGAATTGGTTTACGTGAGTTCATAAACCTTGCGCTCGTGTCACTGACCTGTTTAAATTATTTATTGGAACCTAAATGTATCCCTTCCTCCCCCTGACTAGCTTGAAACTGAGCCTTCCTACGGGGAGGGAGGGGAGCAAGGGGGGGGGGGGTAGGATTAGCCGCAGGACCTGACAAAGATGAATGAAATAAAAAATTCTAAGCGAAAAATAGCGGCTTCAAAACACATTGCTTGTTTAAAAAAAATATGGATTTTAAAAACAGCGGGATTTAGAGAGAGAAAAAATGTAAGAGAAGGGAAGAATAGATCTTAATAATACATGTCAGGTCGGCGGTTCTCGGTGATCAGTTTGCCGTGATCGTTTACTTTTTACCTTTCATTTTTCGATTACATTTTTCTACCTTTTGTGGTGACTCATGGATGAAAACCACGTGCCCGGTTTCAAGGTAAAGCGATGCGGCGTATCTTAATGAGGTTTTCTTGGGGGGCGCGGGGTGCCGGGTGTACGGCCACCAGGGCGTCTGTCAGAAAATGAGTAGTCAAGGGCGAGCACTAGGATAAAAAAAAATTCCAATTTCATAGAGTGCTGTGACGTGGCATGTATCCCCGCCATATTGTCTCACTAAATCACGTGACAGGGTGGAAGTGAGACGAAAACATCCGCCATTTTGTCTCACTATTGTTCAGCTACTGCAGGTAACATACCAAGGGAAGAAACTCAAGCCGCGGTTTTTATCGTTCTTGTGCGTCTAATATCTCGCGCCTGCCCGTCATTTGCTTCACTTCATTAACGGCATGCATAGGGGGCGTCTCCCTCTCATCAGGGGCGGCGCCCCCTCTCGTGACATGTGGTTTATCCAGCATGTCTAGCAGACGTCGCTGATCCCCTCTGCTCACATCGAGTAACGGATTATCCTGTCACAGAGTGAGTTCCCTCCCTTGGTTTCTGTGGACAGGATGAGCCTCGTTATGGTTTCTCCCGGCTAAATATAGATGACGGATTAGCATGTCCGTGTATATGCTACAGGTGCTCACTCGATGGATCAGCTTTGATGTCTGACACACCCAGAGGATGTGGGGATTACAGCAAGTCGAGACTTGACAAGGGTTAAAACAAGGCGAGGGTTTAACTAGGGTTAAACAAGGCGAGGGTTTAACTAGGGTTAAAACAAGGCGAGGGTTTAACTAGGGTTAAAACAAGGCGAGGGTTTAACTAGGGTTAAAACAAGGCGAGGGTTTAACTAGGGTTAAAACAAGGCGAGGGTTTAACTAGGGTTAAAACAAGGCGATGGTTTAACTAGGGTTAAAACAAGGCGAGGGTTTAACTAGGGTTAAAACAAGGCGAGGGTTTAACTAGGGTTAAAACAAGGCGAGGGTTTAACTAGGGTTAAAACAAGGCGATGGTTTAACTAGGGTTAAAACAAGGCGAGGGTTTAACTAGGGTTAAAACAAGGCGAGGGTTTAACTAGGGTTAAAACAAGGCGAGGGTTTAACTAGGGTTAAAACAAGGCGAGGGTTTAACTAGGGTTAAAACAAGGCGATGGTTTAACTAGGGTTAAAACAAGACGAGGGCTTGACTAGGGTTAAAACAAGGCGAGGGTTAACTTTAAACAAGATGGGGCTTGACTAGAGTTAAAACAAGGCGAGGGTTAACTTTAAACAAGATGGGGCTTGACTAGAGTTAAAACAAGGCGAGGGTTTAACTAGGGTTAAAACAAGGCGAGGGTTAACTTTAAACAAGATGGGGCTTGACTAGGGTTAAAACAATTCGAGGGTTTAACTAGGGCTAAAACAAGGCGAGGGTTTAACTAGGGCTAAAACAAGATGGGGCTTGGTCAAGGGTTAAAACATTGCTGTGGTTGGGCTAGGTTTTAAAAAATACCTGATTTAGACCGGGATTCCACATTTTTGCGTTCTACAGAATCTGACTTGTTATAAAACCACAGTTTTTAATTGAAATCTTTTATTATTGGATGTTGCGACATCCTTGTCAGTGACATCCCTAACAATGATGTTGCGTATAACTGACATCCTTATGGATGATGTTACAACATGCTGACATAGACGTGACATGATAGCATGCTGGTGACTCATGTATAATGACCCTCGTCACATTCATAGCGTCCGTCTACCGACCAGTACAATGGGTCATGTCAATAACAGACTTAGTCACAATTAGTCACACCACGTCACAGTTTTAGCACGGAGTGTCTCAAGTTTTATAGCCCGCCTGTACCGGCCATAAAACAATAGAGGCTCATGGGATACAGCAGTCATACCTTGTAACACGCCGATCCTGGTCATGTGACATCTGTGTTGTCATCTCGTCACATTCTTGCAGGGGAAATTTCGCGAGCTCCCTCGATAAGACACGGTCATATATCTTCCCTCGCCCTCGCCTGTCAAGGTAGGCGAGCCCTGGTCATTAGCCAGTCATTCCCTGCCCGGACCGTCGTGATCTAGGACACGTCTCACTACCGGTCATTTGGCTAGTAGACCTACATCAGACAGGTGGTCAGTGCTAGATCTACTCGTCAATTCCTCTGGACTTAACTTGGACTAATTCATTCAGCACGTGAGTAATGATATGAGTGAGGTCACTGTGTAAGACGAGAGAAAGATTGTTTAAGTTCTGTGTTGGGCTCGAACTCACGATGGCAAATGCTTTTAGAAAGTTCTAGAAATGCCACGTGATGAGGTACTCCGTGTTTACTGTGCTCACGTTCGCCGTAGCAACAGCCAGATAAGTATAAGGTGAGCAGATGTTGATCTACGCTGTTCGATACGTCACGTGCTCCCGTGTGCGGGTCTTCTATTTTTAGATAATTAGGTGGAGCAATCAAGTCAAGGTGTACCTCGTAACATTCAACATTTGTCATGTTGGACACATATTTATGATGCCAAAATACAACATTTGTTGTTTTTGGACATTCAATAATTGTCTTGCTGAACATACATGTGTTGTGGTTGGTGGCCTGAGTTGCTGCTGACGGCCATCACGCCCCACTGCCCACACAAAGCACGAGCTAATTGCTTGATTGGTTAAGAGAAAACTGATGTTAGTTTTCCCGTGGTCCCCCGTGGACTTAATGACCATGTCCTGGACTTAATGACCACGTCCTGGACTTAATGACCATGTCCTGGACTTAATGACCACGTCCTGGACTTAATGACCATGTCCTGGACTTAATGACCATGTCCTGGACTTAATGACCATGTCCTGGATCAGCGACAACTGCAACACCGTCCGTTGTTTGCTACATGATTACCGCGTCATGTCCACACGTTGATTGTAGACATTAAAGACATTATAATCAATACACGATCAAACTGATATAAATCAATACACGATAAAAGTGTGAAGTGTGATATCGTTAATACACGATAAAAGTGTGATATAATCCATACATTATAAAAGTGTGATATAATCAATACATCACACCTCCTAACGTTTGATATGTTCTGTTAAATACCCTCAAATTTGACTGTGATTCGTGTCTCCGTCTTGTGACTGCTACAATGTGATATGAGAACAGAATTGTAACTAGTTCAGTATTTAGAGGGTGATTCCATTCAACAAATACACTTGTGTCCAAATGTAACTGTTATTAAAAATATCACCATGTAACTGTCCGTAAACTGATCTCTAATTAACTGTGCCATTAATGTGTACGGCTATTCCCCCGTTAAATTGGCTCAAGATTTTGTGTGCTAACACAACTTGAGCTGCTTTACCTAGTGCTCTTGTTTAATGGGTCACGTGATTACCGTACTTAGAACAGCCCCTTGGGTCCAGTCACCTGCGTCCGTTCATCTTCCCGCCACTTGCCCGGGTCTCAGGTGTGGGTCCGTGCTACACGTCTGCTTCCAATCGTCCCCTGGATACACAAACACTCGTGTTTCACTCACACCCTGGGAGGGGGGGGGGAGGGGATAAAGACACAAACACTCGTGTTTCACTCACACCCTGGGAGGGAAAAGACACACGCGCGCAATGTTCTGTACTCCACCATCTTCCCTCAATTTACACAGGCCCGCCATTTTGTTTGATGTCGTCTGCTCCAGGTATACACGTGCTCCCGCGTGCTACACAAGGAACGACAACACACTTTATGTGATTGTTTTCCTCCCTCGCTTAATACAAACCGCCTGTTACGCTTCGTCGCGTTTTGTAATCAATCTAACATCGGCCCTGAAGGTGGGGGGTGGGGATTTTTTCATTAACGGATTTGTATCCTATCTGACCCTAGCAAGTTGCCGGGAGTGTTCGCTGTCGGCCGCCGATGTTATCACTTACACCTTATATTCACGAGTAGCGAGGGCAAGATGCTCAGGTGAAACAAAGGTGTTTGTAGTTGTGAAGGCAGGCGGTGTGTCCCGTCCCCCCTCCATACCATGGACACCTAAAAGGACACCTGCCTTAGGGTAAGGTACGTTAATGGACATCTTTGATGTACTCGTGCTCTTATTGAATGTAAAACTTTTTTTTAAATAAGAAGAAACGTTTTGTAAACACCAGCCCACACCAAAAGTCTGCCTACTCCACTGTATGTTTGTCAGATGGGACCAAGGTGTCGACAGGTGAGACGAAGGTGTAGCGTGTACAAGCTCTAGCTTCAACTTCCGGTACCTTGTCCCGCTTCAGCCCCTACCCGTGGTGATCTGCCCCTTACCCCTTGAGTTATGCCTCGTACCTCCGGAGTTCTGCCCCCTACCCCTAGTGTTCTGCCCTTACCCCTAGTGTTTTGCCCTTACCCCTAGTGTTCTGCCCTTACCCCTAGTGTTCTGCCCCCTACCCCTTGAGTTCTGCCTCGTACCTCTGGAGTTCTCTCCCCTACCCCTGGTGTTCTGCCCTTACCCCTAGTGTTCTGCCCTTACCCCTAGTGTTCAGCCCCCTAACCCCTAGTTCTGCACCCTACCCCTGGAGGACTGCCCCCAGCCCTAGTGTCCTGTCTTCTACCCGAGTTCTGTCCCCTACCCCATGGAGTCCTGCCTTTATCTCTAGTGTTCTACCCTGGAGTTCTGCCCCCTACCCCATGTTCTGCCCCCTACCCCATGTTCTGCCCCCTACCCGATGTTCTGCCTCCTACCCCTAATGTTCTGCCCCCACCCTGGTACCGCCGATGCCAGAAGACAGCCCCCACCCCGAGCGTGCTGTAACGGTGCCAAGAACCAAAAACAGAACGTCAGCCCAGCTCTGGCATAGAGATCACCATCCTAAACCGTGCTTAATGATGCGGAACGAATTGATACCCGCTAGGTTAAGTGTTGGAATTTCTCAACAATTTTTTTTAGAGTTACTGCACTTGCTTGTGATAAAGCGTATCGATGAAAGCTCCACGGTGTAGACTTGTACAACTTCCGGTAATTTCCTGGGGTTAGAGGTCATCAGCTGCAGCAGACAGGGAATACTTTATGTTATCGTCTTGTTTCTTGTGGCACTTAAGGCCTGGCTTGCTCGGGGCTGGCAACACACACAACTCTCTCTCTCTCTCACACACACACACACACTCACACACACACACACACTGTACACCCACATTCACATATACATGCATACTAACAATATACCCAGCAAATACATCTCTCCCCCCCACCTTAACACACACCTTAACACACACAAATCCCATTACAATTTACCCTCATTAATCTCCCACCGCAATCAGTCACGCCTCACTGACTCCAGTGCTACCAAAAACCACTCATGACTTTTTCACTGCCATTTTTTAGCACTTTGTTCTACTCGCGACTTTCTGTAGATTGTGTACTTGCAACTACACAGAATGTGTACATGCTCCCACACTCCTCAAACATTCTAAACACAACACCCACTCGACTATACAAACTCACACCAAACCCACACACACTCTTAAAAATATAACCCCCTCACCTCATCCACACACACATTCATCTCACACACCAACCTCCCCCTTATCGCGGAGCTATTAAGGATTAACCTCACACCAACCCCACAACAACACATGTGTTCAACTCAGACACACACAACTTCAATGTACTTCTTCCATCTTCTACTCAGGTATCTATCTATATCACACACAACCATACCATCCCTACCCCCCCCCCCCACACACACACAACTTCAATGTACTCCTTCCATCTTCTACTCAAATATCTATATATACCACACACAACCACACCATCCCTATCCCCCCCCCCTCCCCCCACCCACACCCCATGTACTCCTTCCATCTTCTACTCACGTATCTATCTATATCACACAACCACACCATCCCTACCCCCCCCCCCACACACACACAACATCAATGTACTTCTTCCATCTCCTGTATCTATCTATATCACACAACCACACCATCCCTACCCCCCCCCCCCCACACACACAACATCAATGTACTTCTTCCATCTCCTGTATCTATCTATATCACACAACAACACCATCCCTATCTCCCCCCCCCCCCCCCCACCCAATGTTTTCTTGTGCGAGCCTGAATCCTTTAGACGTCCATCCTACATCCTCATCTTATCCCATTATCCCAGTCTGAAAATAAAAACATCGGAAAAACGTCACACACAAAAATCTATAGGTCAGATAAAAAGAGACCCAATGACGTCAGTCAACACTGTCCGCCAGTTTTGATGGACGTATTCTGACGACAGAAGATAGCCATTAAGTCGAGTTGTGCCCCATCTGTAGGCGCCGTGGAAAACCGTGTATGCATTTCATTTTAATGGCATCAACTTGACGTCAATTTCCAGGAGAAGTTCCTCAAAAACCTCGGCCCGTGTTTACCACCAGCCACTCAGTGGCTCGCACAATGGGAGCTGTGTTTTCATTGGCTAATCACTTGTCCAATTATTTAATGGACGATATTTGAAACTGCGGTATCGATCTCCGCGGTATCGTTAATTGTGGTGCGGCGAGTACGTCCGCGATACTGTAGTGGGTACCAGTGGCTGGCCCACTAGAGGCCTTTAGTGGCCAATAATTAGGATGTAGTTTGCCCGACAGCACGCGGATCTATCAATCAATAACCCAGCTCTATGGATCATCTACTTTTTAAATCTCTCTTTGATAACCAGTCCACCCACCCCCTCCCTCCCACACCCCCCTCTCCCTTAGACATGGGGGCAATTAATGTCGTCTGAATCTTGCGAGTAGACCACGTGACGCTGATGGGACGCCATGATGAAAAACGCATTTCTTATGACCGTTGTGTAGACCAAGTTGGGCTACGTAGTCGGGCTCGACAGGACCATCAGACGATGACGTTTAGTATAGACAGACTTATCGTGTAGACAGACTTATCATGTAGACAGACTTAGTGTAGACAGACTTATCGTGTAGACAGACTTATCATGTAGACAGACTTATCATGTAGACAGACTTATCATGTAGACAGACTTATCATGTAGACAGATTCGTAGTTGACGTGGGCATACGACTCGTATTTGGAGTGCTGCGATCAGGGGCGTAGCGAGGGGGGGGGGGCGGGGGTGCGGACCGCACCGGGTGACGCCATTTAGGGGGTTGACACCAAGGCAAAAAATAGCAAAATATATAGAGAAAAACTCGACGGGGGGGGGTGCAAATCGAAA